CATTTGAGTCCCAAACATTAGCCATCATTATGGCAATAGAGGCGGGAGAATTTTTTAGGAGAAAATGTAGAGGATTGTTACTGCTGATTTTCCATGTGCTTCTGTTATTTTAATATCCTGGGTGTCAGTTATAAAGTTCCTGTCAGGTGCCATAAATACAAGACCATCATGGTGATGCCCATGAACAGGATGGGTGTTCTTCTCCATGGGTTCAGAGATTTCTGCTTGAAGAAAAACTGAATGGATGTTAAGGGATGGATGGAGAGCTTTTCTCTTTGTCTGCTTCCGTGTTGCCTCTTGAACTGGGCAGCAAGAAGCCTATTAAGCTTCGACCGGGCCTCTTTCCCCCAAATCCAAGATAACTCTGCATTTCCTGCTCAACCCATTATGCTGGTCTTCCTGGAGAACCACGTCTCTGGGAGCACTTCCTGTGCGAGAGGGGCTTCATCCTCTGGTAAACCGGCCTGAGCCAGCCCCGTGGCTCCATTTGGGCGGGGTTCGAGCCCAGAAGGGTCCCAGGCAGCTAGACAGGAGGTTGAGCGCGGTGGGAAAGGCAGAGGGAGGCTGCTCTATCTGACTCCCATTCTGCAGGGAGCACAACACCCCTTTGCCACAGGAGAGAGTATTAAGCATTTCTCAGAATCCTCCTCCTCCCACGTAGCCTATGATGCCATCAGCTGGCCATTTTGACGTTTTAAAGCTGCAAGGTTGCAATCAGACTTTTCAAGCTCACTGAGGTTGGTCTTTGCCCATTGTTCTGAGACCTGTTTTTTTTTTCTTTTTCTTTCTTTTTCCCCCCCTTCATTGATTTCAGAGAGAAAAGGAGAGAAATAGAGAGATAGAAACGTCAATGATGAGAGAATCAATGATCAGCTGCCTCCTGCACACCCCTTACTGGGGATCGAGCCTGCAACCCAGGGCTGTGCCCCAACTAAAAACCAAATGGCAGCCTCCCAACTCGGGCTATTTTCCTGTTTTAATGGGATTACTAGAGCATTTAAAATGTCACACGTGGCTTGTGTTCTGTTTGTATTAGGCAACGCCGTGCTAGCACGTGAATGCAGTGGGAGCCAGCGTTCCAGGTTTTTGTTCTTCGGGTGACCCAGCTTCTCCATCCCCTTGTTCCCATCTCACCTTCTCTGTGAACTCATATCAATATTCATTTCTTTCTTTTCTCTAAGTAGCTTCACCCAGCTCTCTCCTTTCCACCTCCTCCATCTCTAACGTCCTGCTCCTGGGGTTTTCACCCGGCAAATGGGACATCCGACAAGCCTTGCTCAAAGCCTTTAGCTGGCCCCTTACGTGGCCAGCAGTACAGCCTTCCCGGAGCTGGTTAGAAGGTCAGAGCCTGGCCCGGCCAGAGTGGCTCATCAACCTATGAGCCAAGAGATCACGATTTGATTCCGTCAGGGTACATGCCCTCACTGCGGGCTCAATCCCCAGTGTGGGATCAATGATTATCTCTCATCATTGATTATCTCTCCCTCTCCTTTCCTCTCTGAAGGGAGTGTGTGCCCCCAACAGGTTAGTGGTGAGAACCATAACCACCTTCTTTCCTAAAGCCCCCATCTGGGTCCTCTCCACACCTGCTCCTCTGGTTCGGTTTGAGGACACTCTGAGGTCAGGCCCAGGGCACCTACGAGAAGCAGGTTCCGAGGCCCCGTCGCAGGCCCCGCAGGGACTTGGGCCATAGAAAGGCGTGAGAACCCCAGCTCCGCAGCAGGTCACCCATCCGGCCACCCAGTGGACATCTCACCTTATCTCTTATGGCTCCTGGTAGACACTGACACTGTTACTGAACAAAGTACCATTTCCTCTGTAAGGCCTGGCTGGCACCTCTTATCTCCCTTGGCCAAGCGGGAAGGGGCTGGACAATGAGAGGCTTTCACTTAACCTGCCATCAGCAGTTGCTGAAGCCGCCGGAAGTGAGGGTGGGAGCCAGCCTCGAGCCGAAGCTGCCACTCCCAGGAAGGAATCAGAGCTGAGTTCTCCCCACCAGGTGTCCCTTACGGCACTTCTGTCACCTTTTTTTTCTTTTTTAATGTCACGACGAGCTCCAATTCCAAATGCTCTTATTGTTCCCTGAAGATTTGGAGTTGCTCTTCGGTATCACAGACGCTGAAACCCAATCCGTGATGGTCGGGAGCTTTGGGGAAGTGGAACGGGGTGTTTGTCATGTTCAGCTGTCCTTGGAGGAGCGCCAGGGCCCCGGAGAGACAGAAGCGCTGGGGCTGGCCGATTGGCTGCGGCATTGGCTGGCAGACCAAGCAGCCAGCCCCCGGCCGGAGCCTTCCTGTTGGTGGGAGCCCTCCAGCGTGCGAGTCGCTCTGAAAGTGGAACAGAAGGTGGAGATGTGAGCCACACTGGCGTGACAAAGCAGCCCCCCTTTGTCTGGGGGGTTCGCCTCATCTCCCGCTCGCTTCCTCTCTTTGTCATCGGCCCTGCCCCAGCGCTGTCCCACCCGGCCACTCACTCTCGGAGAGAAACCCCAGAGGCGCTGGCTCGTGTTCCGTAAGGAGTCTAATCCAGGGACCGAGCAGACGCCGTCTGAGGCACAAAGGAATCCTGTCCTGCGGCTCGAAAGCAGGAAGGAGGAAGGAAGGGGGGTCTGGACGGGGACTCGGTCTGCAGTCGTTTCTCGGAGGCGGTTCTTTGTTCCGCGATGTCGGGCAGAGTGCCCGTTAGGGTCTGTCGTCTTTCCAGAAGAGACTCCTGAAACGTCGCCCACACGGTACACAAAGGCCGTTGGTAAAGGGGCATTTGGTGGGCACACTGCGTCCAAACAAGCCTCTTCCAGCCACGGAGCCCTCTCCACCACACCTTCCCATCCCCCCGGCTTACCAGGCTTCTCACACGGTTCCAGGTGGACCGTGCAGTCATGAAAACTAGCACTGGCCTACGCCTAGCAAAGTGTTCTCTATTGAAAGAGTAGAGACAGAAAAGAAGGCTATCGCCCAGCACTGGCCAGGTAGCTCAGTTGGCTAGAGCATCATCCTGATGCACCAAGATTGCAGGTTCGATCCCCAGTCAGTACGTAGAGGTATCAACAATGAATGCATCAGTAAGTGAACCACAATGGATGTTTCTGTGTGTGTGTGTCTCATCAAATTCTTTGTTTTTTTCCTTTTTATACTCATCAATTTTTAAAATATATATATTTCTATTGATATCAGAGAGAAGGGGAGAGGGGGAGACAGAAACATTAATGATGAGAGAGAACCACCGACCGGCTGCCTCCCATACGCCCGCATCTGGGGATCAAGCCCAAAACCCTGGCGTGTGCCCCGATGGGGAACCAAACCTTAACCTCCCAGCTCATAGGTCAGTGCTCAAACACTGAGCCATGCCGGTCAGGCTCAAATCAAGCGGCACAATCACAGTTCTCATACTCCACTGGCAACCAATCTCATGCCTTCAAAGGAGCCACAAAAGCGCCCGCCTCCGCCCTCCCTCCAGCACTCTGCTCTGGCTCTGGGCCTGCCTGGGCCTGCCTGGGTGGGGCGAAGCTTGTTCTCCCATCCTCCAGATGAGAAGGCCGCCCGCCCAGGTTGTGACTTGCCCCTGTCCACACGCAGATCTTTGAAGAGGTGACACCTTTCAGATTCCTGCCTCCCTGGCCCTCGAAAGAAAAAGAAACAGAGCCTTTGGCTCACCGTGTCCTCACAGCTGTGATCCTCTGCGCTTGTCCACAGAGGCACTTCCGCTCATGCTGCCTCCCGGAGCAATTCTTTAAATCTTACCCTCATCACCGCTCTCTCTTTGACTGTCCCCCTCTGGTTAGACTGAGCTCCGTGAAGACAGCCCGGCTCTCTCACCGCCCGCGGCTCAGAGCACCTCGCCTGGTGTTTGGACCTGCCAGGCGCCTTCATGCAGGTCCGCTGGCTCGGGGGGCCTAACGCCGCGGACCAGTTGGATCACATCATTGGCCGCGCGTCTGAGGCACAGGTGTTCCTGTTCAGACTTGGAAACACTGGAAAACCACCACCTGACATTGATGGATAGTGAGTTACAGCGTCCCACTGTCTAGCTCAGCCATTCACAGGCCACTGCTCACTGTCCTATGTTTGGATTTCAGAGACTCCCCAACATTCACATAACGTCACCAGACTCAGCTCCCACTTCTGCCTGATGTGCTGGTTAACACTTCAGCAAATCACAGCCCCGGTCTTCTGAGCTTCACACACAAACCCTCTCCTTCCTGAGAAAACGGCACCTCTGGGGGCTCTGAAGATATTTCTGGTCCAGCCTGGCCAGCGTGGCTCAGTAGTTGAGCATCAGCCTATGAACCAGGAGGTCACAGTTTTATTTCCAGTCAGGGCACATGCCTGAGTTGTGGGCTTCATCCCCAGTGGGAGGTGTGCAGGAGGTACCAGATCGATGATTCTCATCATTGATGTTTCTCTCTTCCTCTCTGAAATCAATATGTATGTTTACACACACACACACACACACATATGCACACACACAAACACACACACAGAGTGGCCCAGATTATTGTGATCTCTGAATGCATAATAATCTGGCCACTCAGTGTATATCCTATATAATAAAAGGTCAATATGCAAATTGTCCCCTCAGCCAGGAGTTCAACCATAAGGCAGGCCGGCCAACTGCCCATGTCCCTCCCCCTGATTAAGCTGACTGGACCCCACCCATGCATGAATTCATGGCCTCTAATATAAATTTTATACACACACAGTGGCCAGATTATTATGCATTCAGAGCAGAGATCATAATAATCTGGCCACTCAGTGTATATGTATGTGTATATATTAAAAGTCCATTAAAAGATATTTCTGGGCTGTTATAAGAAAATATTTACCAATGGGCAGGGTACAGTCAAGTCATGTGTCTTCATTCACTCCCTAACACCCTCCCTACGGGATGGGTCCTCACTGTCTGAACTGGCAGTCAGAGTTGCCCCGGGGCCTGAAGCGCACGTGGGAGCAGGGCCTCTCCCTGAAGGGCTGTCTCCTGTCTGACCCAGGTCTTCGCTGTCCATGGGCGCCTTGGGATCCTTTCGCTTTCCCGGCCCGCTGACCAGGATGTGCCCCGTGCCTTGGGCATGCCAGCCCGGGAAGAAGCCGTCGCTGCTGTCCCTGGTAGCAAGGGTCCCTCCGGTCCAGGCAGCAGGCAAGAAGGACCAGCCGGCCCCTTTCTCCCTGGAGGAGAGTGACCTTGAAGAGCAGTTTGTGAAAGGACATGGCCCAGGGGGCCAGGCAACCAACAAGACCAGCAACTGCGTGGTGCTGAAGCACGTGCCCTCCGGCCTGGTCGTCAAGGTAGGGCAGAAGCGGGGTGGGTTTTCTGGTCCCCTGCTCCGAGCTCCCTCCCCGAGCCTCCCAGCCTCAGCAGCCTCCTCCAGCCTCTGGAGCCAGGTGCTGCTGCCCTCCTTGAACTTGGCAAGCAGCAGAGTTCTCAAAACCGCGGCAGCCAGTGGCCACAGCACTGCCGTGGGGCCACCTCCCTGGGCAGCCAGCAGCCTGGAGGTCTGCGAGCATCCTCTGCCGCAGGGGCGCGGCTGCCCTCCATCTCCTTGGAGGCCCGTGACGCCCACCCTTCTGAGCATGACCTCAGACCAGCCATTCTCGGCGCCAGGAGCATGTACGGCTGCCTGTGGGAGTCTCCCGTGTCCCCAGCTGTCAGCACACCTGACCCTCTAGGAAATGGTGGCCTGGGGCAGGGGGACTGTCCCTCCACGCTGCGTGGCCAGAGGCCTGAGGGGTAGCCGAGCCTTGAGATACAGCCCGGCCGAGGGCCTGGCGTGCTTTAGCTCAGTCCGCACAAGCCCCTGCACCCCTTCCTCCTGGCGGGACAGGTAGGGACGGGAGGCTCAGAGGCTAATGGCCCGCCAGGCCCTGCCTGCTCTGCCGCCACCGAGCACATGGCTTGGTCTCACCACTTCTCCCCCCTCCTTGACGGTCTGTCATTCAGGAGCCACAGAAAACCCTGAAACCTGGCATCCTTTTTGTTTCACCCGTTTTATGTAACTCACCCCGAATCCTCTCCGTGCCATGCTCACCGACATCTCAGAATGCTTATCAGCAGCTTCGCCAGCCTGGCCTCACGTGTGCCAATGCTGGGCTGATGGTAAAGAGCCCTTTCCCTCTGACAGACGCTGGCCTCTGTGCACAGTGCCCGTGCCCTGCCCACACTAGACATTTCCGCTTGTCTTCAAAATTATTTTGGGACTGTAAGTTATTTAAAGGCTACTGTGGCTTCTAAACAAAACGGCACTCCCAACTCTGAGACAGCGGCTGTGAAAGCCACCTCAGATGTGGGTGTGGGCCAGGACTCGCCCTTGCTTTGTCACCCCTTCCTGGGGTTCTTGCAGGGTGTCCTTGCCTCCTACTCCCTCTCCCCTCCCCCCCCCCCCGTGTTGAGTCTGGGGTCCCGAGAACCAGCCTGCGCCTCAGTCGGGAACCTCCTCTCCCTCCCAGTGCCATCAGACGAGGTCCGTGGAACAGAACAGGAAGCTGGCCCGGAAAATCCTGCAAGAGAAAGTGGACAGTTTCTACCATGGGGAGGAGAGTCTGGCCTACAGAGAGAGGCGGGCGGCGGAGAAGAAGAAGCAGGAGAGGAAGAGGAGAGCGAAGGAGACCCTGGAAAAGAAGAGGCAGCTGAAGCAGCTCTGGGAATCGAGTAAGAGCTCCACGGCGGAAGCAGCCGGCCCCGAGTGAGGAGCCCGAGCCCCCGAGGAAGAACGGGGCCTCACCGGGCTGCAGCGCCTCAGAGGCGTTTTGACGGTTTAAAGCGTCAGATCGTTTTTCGTGGCAGAATGAATAAACTGGATGGTGTGCTTACAACAAACCTGAGAAACGCAGGCAGTCCTTGCGGGAGGACAGTGGCTGCTGGGGGAGCGGGTGGGGGAGCGGGTGGGGGTGGGGGAGCGGGTGGGGTGAGGGTGGGGGAGCGGGTGGGGGTGGGGGAGCGGGGTGGGGTGAGGGTGGGGGAGCGGGTGAGGGTGGGGGAGCGGGTGGGGGAGCGGGTGGGGGGTGGGTGGGGGAGCAGGGTGGGGGTGAGGGTGCGGGTGGGGGTGAGGATGGGGGTGCGGGTGGGGGAGCGGGTGGGGGTGGGGGTGAGGGTAGGGGAGCAGGTGGGGGTGCGGGTGGGGGAGCGAGTGGGGGTGGGGGAGCGGGTGGGGGTGGGGGAGCGGGTGAGGGTGGGGGAGCGGGTGAGGGTGGGGGAGCGGGTGGGGGTGGGGGAGTGGGTGGGGGAGCGGGTGGGGGAGCGGGTGGGGGGTGGGTGGGGGAGCGGGGTGGGTGGGGGTGAGGGTGGGGGAGTGGGTGAGGGTGGGGGTGCGGGTGGGGGAGCGGGTGGGGGTGAGGGTGCGGGTGGGGGTGAGGATGGGGGTGCGGGTGGGGGAGCGGGTGGGGGTGGGGGTGAGGGTAGGGGAGCAGGTGGGGGTGAGGGTGGGGGGGTGGGGACTGCGTCAGCGTCATGAGAAGCAGCTCCGAGGGCTGCAGGTGGCAGGTGGTTCGATTTCAGGGCCTGGGCTGTAGCAAGAAGAGGGTCGCCTTTTGTCTTTATGTTATACCTTATTTTGCTATCAAAGGTTAGAAATAAAAAGTAGGACTCTTTTTTTAAAATATGACAATTAAAAAGGTCCATTTCTATGGAGAGCTGTGAAATTGAGACAAAGATTAATAACCTGTAGGATAACCTCATCATCCACTGGGGGTCACTGCTCAGTGATATGTAGAGGTCAGCTTAAGAGAATAAAAAACAAGACGGCGCCCTAGCCCAGTGGTCAGCAAACCGCGGCTCATGAGCCACATGCGGCTCTTTGGCCCCTTGGGCGTGGCTCTTCCACAAAACACCTCGGCCTGGGCGAGTCTATGTTGAAGAAGTGGCGTTAGAAGAAGTTTAAGTTTTAAAAATGTGGCTCTCCAAAGAAAGGGCAAAGTGAGGAACGGCTCTCACGCTGCCCATGCGATCTTTCCTGCGGGCCCCCCTCCCCCCCGAGGCCACTGCAGTTAAAACCACCACAGCCCACCTGTGCAGCCTCGCCGTCTCCCCGCCCTGTGACCACAGCACACGCCTCCCCAGCCCGTGGCTAATCAGTCACATCCGCCCTGACACTTCTGGGTCAGGCGGGAAAGTGCCACCTTTGACAGGTCTCTCTCGCCTCCCCTGGAGGAGCTGTTTTTGTGCTGGTTGTTGTTTTTTTTTTTGTTGTTTTTTTTATAATATATTTTATTATTTTTTTACAGAGAGAAAGGGAGAGAGATAGAGAGCTAGAAACGTCGATGAGAGAGAAACATGGACCAACTGCCTCTTGCACATCCCCGACCCCCGACCAGGGATGTGCCCGCAACCAATGTACATGCCCTTGACCGGAATCGAACCCTGGACCTTTCAATCCGCAGACCGACGCTCTATCCACTGAGCCAAACTGGTTTCAGCTCAAGGAGCTGTTTTTAAAAATGCCACGAGCCTGGCTGGTGCTCAGCGCTGACCCAGTAACCAGGAGGTCACAGTTCCAATTCCCTCACAGGGCACATACCCAGCAGGGGGCGTGCAGAAGGCAACTGAACCATAATGCTCTCTCACCGTTGATGTTTCTCTATCCCTTCTCTGTAGTTAATCAAAGGAATTTCTTAAATGACACTTGATTCAAGGAACCCACATCTTGATACCAATTGTTAATGAAAATAAGCTTTATTACATCAAGTAATAAATACATACAAAGATGCAAACAGTATTAGTCACTTTCTTCCAGATGTTTGGATCCACGGCTGGGAAAGGCGGGACTGAAATCTAATACATCCTTGGGGGAAATCTCAGGGGTCCTTGTCAGGCGAGGTTCTCGGTTCAGTCAGTTGCTCTTTCTTCTGTATTTAAAACTTGTGCATGTAAAAGATTGACTTCAAAGTACTAAGAGTCATGCAAATGCTTAAGCAAAAAAAAAAAAAAAAAAGGAAAGAAAGTTACATTGAGCAGAATCTATACTCTGTGGCGAACGAACGGGCACTGGCTACTAAAGCACGGGCCTCGGACTCGCCCACACAAACCTCAGAGCTGGATGGGCTCAGAGGAGAAACAGAAGCGCGTGAGTAACGGAAATGTATCCAGAAGAGACACAGGGGAGGGCCCCGGGAGGCCAGCTAGTTTGCCTGATAGGTAATGACGTGCATCATGGAAATGAATGCTCAGAAAAACACCAAGGCCCTGGGTGGTTGCTAACTAATATGTAAACCTAAGAACTGCGAAACCTCGTCTCCATCTTGGCGACAGGAGCCTGACGGACCGCGGGAGGGACACGGACGGGAGGAGAAACCAAGAAACTGTGACCGAGTTCCATCTGAGCGGGGCAGGAGCTGTCACTTCCTGGGAGGGACGGAGAGCCTTGCGAGCAGACTGGGAGGCTAGGACCTGGCGTTCCGCTCCGTCTCGGCCAGGCACTCCCGAACCAACCCTCTGGCGTGGATGATGCCTGGAAGAGAAGAGGCAGCGGCTGGGACGTCACCCGGAGCCAGGCCGGGAGAGGAAGAGGACTTCGGAGGAGGAAGCGGGTCCTTTCACCAGCAGCCGGAGAGCCCTCGCACTGAACTGGGACCCGCATCCAGCCACCCGGCCTCCACGTGGTTTAACAGGCACTAACGCCCTAGCCGGTTTGGCGCGGCAGGTAGAGTGTTGGCCTGCAGACCAAAGGGTCCCCCCGGGTTAGATTCCCATCAAGGGCACATGCCTCGGTTGCTGCCTGGGCCCTGGTTGGGGTGCGTGCAGAAGGCAACCAATCGATGTGTTTCTCTCACATCAGTGTTTCTGTCTTTCCCTCTCTCTTCCACATTCTCAAAGATCCACAGGAAAATATCCTCAGGTGAGTATTAACTAAGTGTCTTCTTTAAATGTTTTTATTAATTTCAGAAAGGGAGAGAAACATCGATGATGAGAAAAAATCAGTGACTGGCTGCCTCCTGCACCCCCCACACTGGGGACCGAGCCTGCACCCGGGCATGCGCCCTGACCGGGAATTGAACTGTAACCTCCTGATTCAAAGGTTGACGATGCTCAACCACTGAGCCACGCTGGCCGGGGCTCCTTCCCCCCTCAAAGCCCTTCCCTACCGGGGTCTCCCTAACCCCTTCCTTGTGCACTCAGGGTGCCCACCAGCCGGGACTCCACACCACGGCGTTCCTAGTGGCACAAGTACCGTCTTTGAGCCCCACTCACTCTGAGGATCCCACACCTTAAAGTTGTTGCTTTTCCGCCAAAGCCGGTTTGGCTCAATGGATAGAGCGTCGGCTTGGGGACTGAAAGGTCCCGGGTTCGATTCTGGTCAAGGGCATGTACCTTGGTTGCGGGCATATCCCCAGTGGGGGGGGTGCAAGAGGCAGCTGATCGATGACTCTCTCTCATTGATGTTTCTGAGTCTTTATCTCTCTCCCTTCCTCTCTGAACAAAATCAATTAAAAAAAAAAAAAAAAGTTGTTGCTTTTCTCTCTCTCTTTTTTTTTTTTTTTAATATATTGATCTCAGGAAGAGAGAAGGGGAGAGACATAGAAACATCCACGATGAGAATCTTCTGTACGTCAAAAAGTTTGGTGTTGGAATGCTGATCGGGGCACATACTTAGGTTGTAGGTTCAATCCCCAGTATATGGGAAGCAACCGGTGTTTCTCCCACATCCATGTTCCTCTCTCTCTCCCTCTCCTTCCCTCCCCTTTCTCTGACAGTTAACGAAAGCCTGTCCTCTGGTAAGGATGTTTAAAAATCCCACAAAACACCCAGGGCTCACTGGCTGTCCAACGCCACCCTATGGACAGTGCGCCCACTCCCTCGTGCCCACTGCAGCCTCCCACCTGCTCCCACATGAGCTGGCCGCTGGGCAGGACGCTGCTCGCCCGGGCTGTGCCCAGAGTGGTCACTGGGTGTGTCCACACGCTGACTCCACCGCGGCTCCAGATCCCCTGCCAGACGCTCAGGGATTCCCGTTCAGGTGACCAGCGCCTCCGTCCGATCTGACCGAGGCCCAGATGGCAGCACTATGCCCACCTGGCCCCGGGCTGGAGCGGGGTTCAGCCCACACCCGCCCCGAACCCTCTCCGGTTCCAGCCTCTGACCACCAGTCCCTTCCCACAACGCCGTGCCTGTGCTCACCGGCCCGGCCCTGCCATCGTCCTCACAAGGCTCCCAAGCACCAGCGCCCTCAGCAGCCCTGCCTGTCCCCGGGGACCCGCGACCCCAATGGTGGCCCCCATGGGTGCCTCTGCTCATAACCCGACGGCTCCTCTTTCCTCCAAGGTGCTCCCCGAACCCTCTGGAGATCCTCACACCCCTCCTGAGATGAACTTCTCACACACACACACACACACACAGCCACCTTCTAAACAGACGTCCTCCCTCCTCCTCTCACCTCACAGGGCAGCCAGCGGCTCCCGTCCTGAGACACCACACCGGGTGCTCACAGCGGCACCTGAGTCGCCTTTCCCTGTGCCGTCACCTCCACCACAAAAGCATTCAAGGCACCCCGTGGCCTGCCCCGGACTCGCACAGACCCCGGCCCCCACTCCCACCCCCGCCGTCACCCGCGGCCGCAGGAGGGCAGCAGGGAGGAGGCAGAGTCCTTTCCAAAGCGGACGGACCCTCCTGCAGCCCCAGGCGGGCAAGGCTCACGGCGGAGCTGCCCCTCGCAGAAGCCCCTTCCCGTCCAACCCGAGCCCCCACCCAGAGCCGCTCACCCCGCCGATGCCTCCCCGTCCCCACGGCAACTCACAACCTGGCGACCCCCGGCCGCCCCGCAGCCCCTAGAAACCCCACGGCAGAGACGGGCCGGGGCCGGGCCGCCTGCGGACGCACCTCGTTTTAGTCTCTCCATGGCGCTCTTGCTGCCTGCGTACGTGGGCCGGATCTCCTTCCCCAGCTCTTCGATGATGGCCAGCAGCTCGGCGTATTTGCTCTGCGGCACCTGGCTGTTCCCCGTTCCCTGGAATCAGAGAGCAGGTTCAGACGGCTGACGCCCCCTGGCTCCGGCCACTCAGGGCCCCACGTGTCTGCGCGGCCAGGACGGGATGTGGCGGGAGGGCGGTGGCCCAGAGCGCCGTCCCCGCTGAGGGACCCACAGAGCAGGGAGGTGGCCGCCTGGCCTCCGCTCCAGGAACCGCCCGGCAGCTCCCAGACGCTTCCAGCATCCCCACGGCCTGACTCACGGCGAAGGCTTCACTGCGAACTCCCAGGGCCCGGGGGATGAGCAAGTATCACCCAGGGGCTGAGGGTGCAGAGCGAGCGGGCGAGACGGAGGCCACGCCTGGGGTGGGCAGGACTAGAAAAGCCACCAAGGCCATCTGGACGGAGCCCAGCCTCCCCCACTGGAGGGCTCGCCCCACAGAAACCCTTTTCTTTTTTTTTTTTTTTTCTTTTTTTTTAAATATATTTTATTGATTTTTACAGAGAGGAAGGGAGAGAGACAGAGAGCTAGAAACGTCAATGAGAGAGAAACATCGACCAGCTGCCTCCTGCACACTCCCTACTGGGGATGTGCCCGCAACCAACGTACATGCCCCTCACCGGAATCGAACCCGGGACCTTTCAGTCCGCAGACCGACGCTCTACCACTGAGCCAAACCGGTTTCGGCCACAGAAACCCTTTTCTCCAGACACCGCAACAGCCCAGGCAGCACCCAGACCGTGAGGCTGGGCTCCCCACGGGCCTCTCCCTCCTCCTCCTCCTCCTCCTCCTCTTCTCCCTCCTCCATCTCTATCTCCTTCTCATCCTCCTACTCCTCCTCCATCTCTATCTCTTCCTCCTCCTCCTCCTCCATCTCCTCCATCTCCATCTCCTCCTCCTCCATCTCCTCCATCTCCATCTCCTCCTCCTCCTCCTCCATCTCTATCTCCTTCTCATCCTCCTCATCCATCTCCTCCTCCTCCTCCATCTCTATCTCTTCCTCCTCCTCCTCCTCCATCTCTATGTCCTCCTCCTCCATCTCCTCCATCTCTATGTCCTCCTCCTCCATCTCCTCCATCTCCATCTCCTCCTCCTCCATCTCCTCTTGCTACTCCATCGCCTATGTCTTCCTCCTCCTGCTCCCCCTCCTCCTCCCCAGTGGCACCAGGACCAGCCTCCCCTCCTGGAGGCCCTCGCCTGCTCCTCCCGCCTTCTCTGCTGCCTCTGCTGCTCCGTCTCCAGGTCCTCCCTCGCCTCCTGGCCCAGGTCCTCGGCCTCCTGCCGCCGCCGCCTCGGGGCCCCGCACTGCTCCTTGCGCTGCTGCCGCCACCGCCTCACGGCCAGGGCGTTGCGCTGCCGATCCAGGCCGCGCTTCAGCCCATCCTCCCGCCGCCGCCGCCGCTTCTTCAGCCGGTCCCTCTCCCGCGCCCGGGCCCGCTTCTCCTCCTGGGACAGCGCGGCCTGGCGGGGCATGGCCCGAGGCCGCACCTCAGCCCCGCGGACAGTGTCCACGGCGACCTCGGAATGTGCCAGTTCCGGCCGCGCGCGAACCCTGCAGCTGGCAGCCGTGGGCCCCTCCGCAGGCCACGTTTCCCTGGCAGGTGCCAGGGTGGCAGAAGTGGCTGCCTCCACCACGCTCCTACCAGCCCGGGGACCCCCGCCCGACAGCGAGAAAACCAGGTCTCCGCAAGACGCCAGGAGGGCGTCCTGTTTTCAGCCGTGGCAGAACCAGAGCCCGGCCAGCGTGGCTCAGTGGCAGAGCATCCACCCAGAACCAGGTCAGGGCCCGGGCCCGGGTTGTGGGCTCCATCCCCAGTGGGGGGCGTGCAAAAGGCAGTCCATCAGTGATTCTCTCTCCTCCTTGATATTTCTCTCTCTCCTCCCTCCCTCTCTGAAATCAATAAAAAAGTTAAAAAAAAAAAAAAAAAGAAGTGGCAGAACCAGCTATAAACCCAGGCAGCCTCGCTCAGGAGCCACCAGCTCCTCACCACATGCATCTCGGGTCCCCTTTGCTGGGGCTGCGGCCTCCAGGTCAGACCCACAGTCAGGCCAGGCCTTCTTCCCCGGGCATCAGGCACAAGACCACCCACGAGGGACATACACGGGGTGGCGGCCCCCCCAACAGAACCGCAGCCCCCAGGGCTCCCATCTTTCCCTGCGCCCCCCACCGCCCACCCCAGCTCAGTGTCCCCATGATTCACCCTGCCACCCTCTGAGACACATCAGGTCCTGAACATGAGCCCAGCCGGGGCCTTGACCTGAGGAAGCTCAGGTGACCTCCATCCATCCATCCATCCATCCATCCTCTCTCCTCCTTCGTCCCTCCCGCCAAGTCCCCGGCCCCTCCCGCCGCCCATCCCCGCCGCCGCCACCATACCTGCGTGTAGCCTAGCGATGGTGGTCCGTAGTCACTCAGCAGCTGGCGGTACTGGGAGGACGTAGCCATGCTGGTGGATGGCGGGTGGACGCTCCCCGCTGGGGTGGAGGAGAGAGCAATCAGGAACCCCGTCGCTGTGACCAGCCGTCCCCGAGGCGAGGACCCGGGGCCAGCCACAGGCCAGCCACAGGCCCGCTGCCTGGGCTCCGCGCCATCAGCAGCGTCCACCCTCTCCGCAGGCAGAGACCCCCGCTCCTGCCCTCTGGTTTGGCCTTGGCTAACCCCTGGCCTCGACGACTGATCGTGAAATCTAACTAACAGGCCCCTGGGCTGGCACCCACCGCAGAGCAGACACCACCACTCCCGTGGTCCATGACCTCCCTCCCATCCCTGTGGCCGGGAGGGCACCAAAGACGAAGGTGCTGTGATGCTCGGCCTAACCCTCGCCGTCTCCGTCCCCCAGGGGCCAACCACCTCGAGCCACATCCCTGCCACAACCGTCCGCTGCACCCAGGATGGCCCACACCCCGTGGCCAGGGAGACGGGGCAGGGCTTGGGTCTGAGCCCCACCCCCGGCTGGCGAAGGGTGCACGGGCACCGAGCCAGGGATCTGGAGCATACCCAGATCTGAGCCCGTCACCCCCTCTCCAGAGAGGGGTGAGGACTCCGGGGAGTCTGAGTCTACGCCCGGATGACTTGCACCCAAAGAGGGAAGGGGCGGCCCCACTTAGAGACCCCAACTCTCGGAGACACTGTCCCTCGGCCACGAGGGATCCCTGGGGCAGGATGGGGTGGACCGGCAGCGGGGAACCCCCCAGCTCCCCCTCAGGAGCTCAGGAGCCGGAAGCATGCGGACCTGTAATGGCGTCCGAGTGGCCATTAGCGGGAGAGGATGTCCTGTGGAATTACAAACAGCGGTAACCATGGAGAATTTACCTAGCCCTCCTCGGCAGCTGCCCGCCCGCCCGCCCGCCCGCCCGCCTCCTCGCCGGCCAAGGCGCAGCTCCCCCGCCCGGCCCGCCACCCGCAGAGCCCAGCGGCCTCTCTCCCAGGCAGCCGGCGGCTCGGCAGACGTGGCCCCGGGGAGGGACAGCTGGTGCCAGGCCGGCCAAAGCGACCAGCTGCCCATCTGGTGCGGGCAAGAGGGCCGGGAGGGGGAGTTCTGGACTCTGTCTGGCTGACGGGGCTGGAAGGGGCCCTCGAGAACCCGGGAGCTCCTGGCTGGAGAGAGAAGCAGGCCGGAGAGGGTGGGCACTGCCCCGGGCCACACAGCACAGGGGAGGCTGACCTCAAGGCCCGTCCCTCTGTCCGTCCACGCTCAGGCCCAGCCTGGATTTACCCTCCGGGAGCCCGGGACCCTGGGCTGCCAGCGTGGCTCAGGGGGGGAGCGCTGACCCATGAACCAGGAGGTCACGGTTCAATTCCCAGTCAGGGCCCATGCCTGGGTTGCAGGCTCCATCCCCAGGGTGGGGGGCGTGCACGAGGCAGCCGATCACTGATTCTCTCTCATCATTGGTGTTTCTGTCTCTCCCCTTTCCTCTAAAATCAATAAACAGATTTTTTTTTTTTTTTCAAAGCATGGGATGCCCAGTCATGCAGGACCCATGGGTACTGCCACTCCAAGAGAGTATCTGGGCACATCCCTGGGCAGCTCTGAGCCTCTAAGGCGGGGAGAATATCGCACAGTGGGACCGTGCTGCTCAGCGGGGGGAGGGGGAGGGGGGCCCTCACTCCACCCAGGGCACAGGACTGGGGCAGGGTGGCTGCCCTGAGCTCCCCTCACCCCCTCCGCCAAACCCCAACTTCCTGCCCTTGCTGACGTGGGCACCGAGTGTGGTCTGTGAGCTCAGGCTCTGCAGCTCCAGAGCTGGATTCTGAGCCCGCCCTCCGCTGCAGGCGGTGACGCCTCCCAGGATGCTCAGGGTGAGGCTGGGGCACCCTGAAGATGGGTGGGCAGGCACCCCCAGGCAGGGGTGGGCCGGCACCCCCAGGCATCCTCCTGGTCTGCTCTCGGGCTGTGCCACACCTGGCTGTGTGACCTCACACACGCCCTTCCCCCTGGAGGCCTCGGTTTCCCCATCTGTCAGAGGCAATGTTCCCACGGGAAGGTCTCATGCTCCCAGGCTGGGTATCAGGGGCGAAGGGAGGAGGGGGGAGAAATCGCTCAGTAGCTCCGAGCAGGTGACCCCCACTCTGTGTTACAGGAGAGAGGGGGTGTCTGTGGGCCTGGGGAGTTGGCACACGGCCCTGAGTTCCACTCATGCCCCCTGCTTCCTGCAGACCCGGGGTCGGGCTGCCCGAGGCCGGGGAGAAAGCTGCCCGGGTGTGAGCGTGGTGCCCGGGCCGCGGACAATGCCCGCGGTGTGCGTGCGGGACCAGGCGGCCGGCGGGAGGGACTCGGAGGCCAGCAGCTCCGGGGCCAGCGCCTCCCCGCCCCCACGCCAGACAAAGAGCGGCCTGGGCCCGGGGAGCTGGCGGCCTTCCCGCCACTTGGGGCGCCTGGGGGGGGGGCTCCCCGGCAGGGAGGGAGGGAGGAGGCGGAGGCTTTGTCTAACTCCTGCGGCTGCTGCCGCCGCGGGCCAGGCCGGGGCTTGGCAGCCCGCGCGGGAGGCAGGGCCGGAGGGCAGGAGGCAGGATGACAGGGAAGCCGGAGGAGAGTCCATCTTGGATGCAAATGGCAGGGGAGCTGGGGCTCCGCAAAGGGGTGCATGAGCAGGGGTGCCCGCCCCCCCGAACCCCGGAGATCCGGGCACCTGGCACTCCTCCTGGATGTCGCCAGAGGAGAAGAAAACCCGCGTACAGGTGCCGGCAGCCCAGAACCGGCGTCAGGGCTCCGGAGCGGGTGCCTGTCACTCATGACCCCGGACCCCAAAGGTCCCAAACCCTCCCTCACTCTCCCCACCCCGAGGATGACAGGAGGGAAGGAGGGGGAAAGGGGGGTGGAGGCCACCTGGCCCACAAAGCCTCTCTCTCTGAGGCTTGCAGACCCCAGAGCAGGTGAGGACATTTGAGAAAATAGCCCTGTTTGCTCTTGAGGCTCAAAACCCACATTCACCTTCACCTCCCCTCCCTCCCCCTCAATGCACACCCTGGATCTTAACCCTTTTCCATCCCCAAGGCTGCATCCAGAAAGTTGAGTACACGTGTGTCCCCTGTGTGTGCACATGCCTGCACACTGAGTGCTGCTGTGGGGCCCTCCGCAGACGCTGAGGAGTCACATTCGGAGACAAGGCCCGAACCTGCGCGGCTGCCAGCGCCAGCGTGGCATTCTGACCGGAGGCCAGCCCCTCCCGGCCTCTGCCCCCGCCCCGCCAATGCCCCAGCTTTTGGGGAAGTCTGTTCCCAGCCAACTGTCTGGAGGAGCAGGACCTGGGGCGGGGCCAGGCCGGCCCCCCCTCCCGGTCACCCCGGCCCCGGGGCGAGGCCCTGGGCACAGCCCCGAGCGGCCTGACAACTTCTGCGGAGTTTCCCGGGACCTCCCGGCTGCAGCCCCGGGGAGGGAGGGGACGGGAGGGGAGGGGACGGGAGGGGAGGGGAGGGGGTGGCCCCTCCCGACTGGGGCTGGAGGAGGCCTTCTCTGTCCAGACCTGGGGGGCCCCCCCGAGATGTGAAGGCCGGCTCCGATGCCCCCCATCTCCCCCACCCCGTCTGCCAGCACCCAGAGGCGCCCGCTCCTCTCCAACTTCCTCCCCAGCGCGCACCCAGAGGGGCCTCCCACGTGTCCCGCTCCGAGGACCCCGCTCCGCGCCAGGCGGAGCCCCATTCACTGCGCCCCCGCGCCCCGTCCCCCCCGCGCCCTGCGCCCCCCGCCTGCCCCGCCTGCCCCGGGCCGGCCCCGCCGCGCACGTGCGCCTCTGCGGCCGGGGAGCGCCCGTCCCGGCCCCCGGCCTGCAGCCCGCGCCCCGCGCCCGGCCCCGCGCCCCGCGCCCGCCGCTCCCGCCTCCCGCCGGCAGGGGCCGTCGCCGCCGCCCGAAAGCGGAGGAAAAAGGAGCCGCGGAGCCTCCCCCGCCCCCGCCCGCCCGCCCGCGGCCGCCCGCAACCCGAACCCCGAGCCCCGGCCCCGGCCCCGGCCCCGGCCCAGCCCCGCGCGGCGCACCCGCCAACTTTGGCGGCGCGGGGCCGGGATCGCGGCGGCGGCGGCCCGGGACCCGGCGCCCCCGGCCTCGCGGGGCCCCGGGAACCCCCCGCGCGGGCCCCCGGCGGCACCGGGCGCGGCGCGGGGCACTCACCGGCGTTGAGGGCGGCGGCGGGCATGTGCGCGGCCAGCGCGGGCTTGTAAGACATCCCCCCGGCGGCCGGCGCGGGCCGCGCGCCGTCCGTGCGCCCGCCGGGCTCCCGCGCACTTGGGCGGCCGGGCTCGGGCCGCGCCGGCAAATATGGCCGAACGTCCCCCGCCGCCCGGCGCGCTCCCTGCACCGGCGGGCGCGGCGGCCGCAAACTTTGCGCCGAGCCAGCGGGCGGCCCGGCCGGAGGGGGCGGCCCGGCGCCAGGGGCCCCGCCCCGCGCCCCGCCCGCCCCGCGCCCGCGCCGCGCCCGCCGCAACTTGGCAAAGTTTGGGGGGCGGGGGGCTGGGTCCGGGCGGCGCCGGCCCCGGGGCTCCTTTCTTCTCCTGGCGGCCAGCGCCTGGCGGTTTCTTATTTTACCGCTTAAATCTATATCTATATCTATAGATCCTTTCATTTGAAGGAGCAAGATCTCAGCATTACTTTTGCGTCCCCGGCCGGTGGGGGCGGGGATGGAAAATTACCTGGAGAAAATGGTGGCGGATGGTATTCTTTTTGAAGCGCGTAGATCCTTCCCGGACGCCCAGGTCTGGCTCTTCCCCGGGATCACCACCACCGACCGATTCTTGACATCGATTTCAAATAAATCGCACGTCCCTGTCTGCAGCCAGCGGCGTTTAACCCTTTGGGGGGCCAGGGGTTTGCTCCCGGGGAGTCACCCCTGTGTGTGCATAACGGTGCGTCTGAGCTCGTCCAGGTGTTGCAGGAGCAGAAGCGCCTACTACGCGCCGGACGCGGCGCCAGTCGGGCGGGGTGGAGGGGGGAACAGGAAGGAGCGCGGCCACGTTCCCCCTCCCCTGGAGTTCACCTCGCAATGTGGGGCCTCCGAGGAGCCGGCCCAGCCCGTCCTCCAGGCTGACTGCATCAGGGGTGGCTGGGATGAGGGGGGGGAAGCTTTGGAAGGTGCTCTGTCCCGGTTTTGTGCTTCAATAAGTGAAGCTCATCAGCATGCACAAGAGGTGGGCCCTCCCTTTGGGGAACAGCGGTTTGGGAACCTTTAAATGAGTCACAGACTTGGAGACCTCCGGGCCTGGTGCGGAAGGGTGATCCGCCAAGCCTGCCTTCCTCCCCACCTGCACCGGCACCCCTTGGGATCCACGTTAGGCTTGTCCAGCCAAGGACGCTGGTGAGATTTTATTTCATCAACCAGTGAGTGACACCTTCGCCTACCCTCCTTCCCGGACCCCCCCATACACACACCAGGGATCCAGTACTCAAAAGTAGCCACAATACAATTGTTTCAGTAACCACGTTAGAAAGGCAGAAGTAACCGATGAAACGAGTCTTTAATACATTTTAACACAATATATCCAGGACACTGGGTTTTCCATGTGGAAAGAATGTAAAAGAAGTTAAGCTATTTTGTATCATACAAAGTCTTCAAAACACAGCTGTGTATTTTACACTCAGTGTATCAGAATGCAGACTGGACCTAGCACCCTTCGGTTCACAGGCCAACGCTCTATCTCCTAAGCCAAACCCCGCAGGGCTTTCTTTATTTTTAGAGAAAGAAGCAGGGAGAGAGAGAGAGAAACATGGATGTGAAAGAGAAACATCAACCAAGTGGCTGCCTCCTGCACGCCCCTACCAGGGGCCTAGCCCGCAACCCAGGCATGTGCTCTGGCCTGGAATTGAACCAGCAACCAACCCTTCAGTGCATGGGACACCCCACCACCTGAGCCACATTGGCCAGGTTCATCCACATTGTAACGTGTGCCAGTATTTTGCTACTCTCTTACTCACGGCAAATACTATTCCACTGGAGGGACAGGAAACACCACGTTGATGGACAGTTGGATTGTTTCAATTTTTTGGCTGTTAGTACAGCGGCTCTGAACATTTGTATACAATTTTTTCTATGGACAACAGCTTTCAATTCCTTGGGGTATAACCCAGGACTGGAATTGCTGAGTCTTATGTTTCACTTTTGGGGGAACCACCGAACTGCTTTCCATAGTGGCTTCACCATGGTACATTCCCACTAGCAATGCAAGAGGCATCTAGTTTCTCCATATCTTTACCGACACTTGTTATTATCTGACTTTTTTTTTTATTTTCCTAATGGGTGTGAACTAGTATTTCCTGGTTTTGATTTGCATTTCCCTAATGAGCAGTGATGGTGAGCATCTTTTTTTTTAATATATATATTTTATTGAGCTTTTACAGAGAGGAAGGGGAAGGGATAGAAAGCTAGAAACATTGATAAGAGAGAAGCATCGATCAGCTGCCTCTTGCACACCCCCCTACTGGGGATGTGCCCACAACCAAGGTACATGCCCCCGATCGGAATCAGACCCGGGACTGAGCCAAACTGGTTTCGGCTGCTTGTCCATTTTTAAATTTTATTATTGGTCACACAAGAAAAGGCAATTGGAATTTTTTATAGGACTTGTATTATATTGGTGTATCAATTTTAGGCTCTTCAGTTCACGAACCCAAGATAGCTTTCAATTTATATAGGTTTTTGTGGGGGGTTTTTTTTGTGTGTGTGTGGGGGGGTGTTTTATTTTGTTTTATTTTTTGTTGTTTTTTGTGTTTTTTTTTGTTTTATTTTTTTTGTTTTTGCTTAATCACCCGAGGACATTTTTTCCATTGACTTTTAGAAAGAGTGGGAAGGGAGGGGAGAGACAGAGAAACATAGATGTGAGATACATTGATTGGTTGCCTCTGGCATCTGCCCCCACTGGGACAGGGATCCAGCCTGCAACCCAGGTATGTGCCCTTGACTGGAATCGAACCCTGGACCCTTCAGTCCATAGGCTGATGCTGTATCCAATGAACCAAACGAGCTAGGGCTAGGTATTATTTCTTTTTAAAAATATATTTTTTTATTGATTTCAGAAAGGAAGGGAGAGCAAGAGGCAGAAACATCAATGATGAGAGAAAATATTGATCGGCTTCCTCCTACATGCACCACACAGGCCCCATACTGGGATGGAGCCCCAAACCCAGGCATTTACCCCGACCAGGAATCAAACCTTGACCTCCTGGTTCATAGGCTGACACACTGGCAGGGCTAGGTCTTATTTCTTTAATTTCAACAATGTTTTCTAGTTTGCAGTGTGCAAGTCTTGTACTTCTTTTAGTTAAATTTATTCCTAGGCATTTCATTATCTTTGATGCTATTGTAAATTAAATTGTTTTCTTTTTTAATTTATTGATTTTTAGAGAGACATCAATTTGTTATTCCACTTGTTTTTGCATTCATTGGTTGATTCTTGTATGTGCCCTGACCGGGGATCAAACCCACAACCAACAAAAACATAAAAATTAGCCTTAACCGGTTTGGCTCAGTGGCTAGAGCGTCAGCCTGCGGACTGAAAGGTCCCAGGTTCGATTCCAGTTAAGGGCATGTAGCTTGGTTGTGGGTATATCCCCAGTGTGGGTGTGCAGGAGGCAGCTGATAGATGTTTCTCTCTCATCGATGTTTTCCAGCTCTCTATCCCTCTCCCTTCCTCTCTGTGAAAATGCAATGAAATATATTTTTTTAAAAACATAAAAATTAAGTATTGCAAACTCCATTAGCATCCACCCAGCTCTTTGCCTAACCCTTGCTGGTAGTTCCTCACAACAGTGACCTGGGAGCAGTAGAGCAATAGTGTGTCACGTGCGTCTCCTAACCCAACGGTGCACTTGCCACCAGGGTGGGCAGCTTTCAGAGGACAAAGCCAACTTCCCGAGAATTGGGCTCTAAAAATAAGCATTTTTGCACATTTTTAAAGCCTCCTTTCTCTCCCTAAAGGCCTGCCCAGATGGCTTCTTTACATCCTGCTCTCAAATGACTAGCTGATAAATATTCATATGTATGGAACTTGCACATTCTCCAACCCCCCAGCCAATTAACATTTGTACTTTCCCCATCTCAGGGGTGTTTGCCTTGTCCCCGGGCCCTATCCTCTGTTACACACACGCGCGTGCACACACGCACACACACACACACGCTCGTGTGCAGAGACCTGTCCTTTGGCCTCCTAATGGCTACCTTGCCGAGGGCAGTGGTTCCCTACCAGGGGCAAGTTTGATCCTCAGAAGAGATTTGGCAATGGCTGGACACTGGAGGGGGGGGAGGGGTCCAGCTCGGGGGCGGGGTAGTGTGCCCTCCTGGCATCTAGCGGGTACAGGCCAGGGGTGCTGCTAAATGCCCTCCAATGGCACCGGACGGACAGCCCCACCCTGCAAAGCATGGCCCGGCCCAAATGTCAATAGTGCAGGGATCCAGGGCACACGTGGCGGGGCTGACAACAGACTTGAATACACAAAAAAACAGGAGAACAACTCAGGATGTGCAGGGTCTCCTGGAAGTCTGGCCTCTCATGTCTTATTCAAATTACTGCTCGACTTGTTAATGCTACACATTTAAAAACAGGTTTCTCTCCAGTCTTCAAGCTCGAGGTACCAATATTTTAGTCAAAATGCAACGCACTCCCTTTTCACTTGCCCTTCAATTAATGCTCAATTATCTTATGTATTTGACGAGATTAAATTCCCCTAAACGTTAACACCATTTACAAATGATTAGATTCCCTTAAGTGCTGTGTGCTACAAAAAGGAGGACTCGCTGGAGCGTTTCAAACCCCGCAGAGACAACTCATAAAGCCAAACCCTGAACATCTCAGAAAGTCCACCCGCGGCTCCCCCCCCACCCAACCCTCCCGACTGCCGTCCTCCAGGGCGAGGGCAGGGTGGGGAACATCTGGTCTTCGGCTGGATAAGGCCCTCGACATCATTTGGTCTGGCCCAGCCAGGCATTTGTGGTGAGTTAATTAAATGTCTAACCAAATACAGCCGGCTTTTTAAGTTGATAATTCTGAGTGGCCTGGGAATGTTTTTAATATCCAAATGGCCCTTGGCAGCAAAAAGGTTCCCCACCCCTGCTCTGAGGGAGCAGTCACCCCTGGCCCTGATCACCTTGGGGACAAGGCCCCCCACCCCTTACTGGCTCCCGACCTCAGTGCCTGTCACCTCGCCTGTGAAGTGACGGTGAAGGTGCCCACATATGGG